GGGTTAACAATGACTCTGAGTTGTTGTCCATGAAAGATTTTTTCCAAACCAATGACATTGAATATCAATGCACATGTGTCTACACTCCACAATAAAATGGCGTTGTCAAACGTAACCATTGTCACATTCACATCGTTACACGTAGCTTACGCTTCCAATCTCAGGTACCCCTTTCATTTCGGGGCGAGTGTGTATCCACTACTGTTTATCTCATTAACTGATTACCATCTCCTTTGTTATCTAACAAATCCCCTTTTGAGTTATTATATAAATGTCCGACATCTTTTGACCACTTGAAAGTTTTTGGTTGTTTGTGTTTTGCTACTGTTGTTCACCTTACCCATAAATTCGACCTTCGTGCTAAACGCTGTGTCTTTGTTGGATACCCCACTGGTCAAAAGGGTTATAAACTATATGATTTGGAAACTAAAAAAATTCTTTGTCAATCGTGACGTTAAATTTACTGAAACTACTTTCCCTTTTCACTCTATACCAACATCCCCTCTGACCCATACATTTCCCATACATGACAACAAGCCCCTCCACCCCATCTGCCCACAACCCATTCTCCTAGCCTTGCTGACACCCCACTCAACCTGCTAGCACCTCTTCTATCATATCCATCTCCCTCGGACCTATCTAACCCACGACCTCTCCACCTAATCTTACCCTTCCTGACATGATCCCATCACACATCCTGACATGCTCTCATCACACATTTGTTTCACTTCTTAAAGTCCAACCTCCCTACCCACTGTCGTGTCAACCTCTTTTACTCCACCATCCACTGACATGTTTGCCCTATCACCTGACCTCTCTCATCCACCAGACGCCATGTCAGCTCAGCCATCCTCTCCAGTCTCTCCATCCTAAGTAACCTCCCATATGGCATAAAGATTATCACATGATTAACCAGGTCAGTCACTCTCCCTCGGCGCCTCGTTATTCCTCAAGTACTAGATACCTTTTTTTCTAATTTTCTGTCTTATTCACGCCTTTCTTCTGCCCATTGTGCTTTTCTAGCCAACATTACAGGTCCCACTGAACCTACTTCTTATGCCCAGGCTATCCTTGATCCTAATTGGCGACATGCCATGCATGCAAAATTAACGACTTTGCAACAAAACAATACACGGAACATGGTTCCCTTGCCTGCAGGAAATAAACTCATTGGCTGCAAATGGGTCTATAAAATCAAATACAACTCTGATGGCACAATTGAGCGATACAAGGCTCGTCTTGTTACAAAATGATACACTCAAATTGAGGGCATCAATTATCAGGAAACATTTTCTCTTACCGCCGAACTCACCACTCTTCGTTGTCTCCTTGTGATGAGTCAATATTTTCTATATATTTTAGCATAATCTTAGTATTAATTTATTATTTATTTTGGTGAGATTTTGATACTTTGAATTATATTTCCGATGTAGGACAATCGACTTCCTCTTGAGCAAAAAGTAATCAAACAGATGAATTTTGGAGTCATTCTAATTGGAGGATGTTTGTGAGTTTTTCAAGATGATTGTAGCAAAGTTTTAGATTTTTCTACTAAGCTATTTGATTGACCGTGGCAATGAAATAAAGGCCCAGCATGCAGCTTTCCCAGATTGACATTTTTAGACGTTTTGGGCATTTTGGAGGTCAAGATGACATATTTTGAGGAAGATTCATTCTTAGGATTTGTAGGGGACGACTTAAGCTTTCAAAAGATACCTTTTAGGACCAAATCGGAGTTGATTTGGTTGGTCAAAAATCTGATTTTCTGAGAAATCCGAATTTTAGTTCAAATAGGAAACCTTTTATTTTCTATTTTATTATTTTATTATGTTTCTTAGTTTTATTCTAAGACCTTTTAGGGTTTTATTTTGTAGTAGTATAAATAAAGATATTTAGCCATTAGGGTTGTAGAGAAGAGAGGAGGAGACGCACAAGCCTTTTGACAATTCAAGTTTATTTTCTAGGTGTTGTCTGTCCTTATTCTCAATAATATTTTGTTTTATAATTGTTCGTAACTAATTTCGTTTGCTAGGACAAAGCCTTGAGTCTTAGCAAGAATATGTAGTTTCTTTTCAATTACTTATGATATTATGCATGCATGTTTTGAATTATTAATCATCGTGATTAAAACTGTCTAATTGTCTTAATGCCTAATCACCATTAGGATATTTAGAAAAGTAATTTGATACAATTTTGGTTAGAAGGTTCCTTGAAATTGATGTTGGCTTCTTGTCGTTAATAATTGTAATTTCACTTAAGATGAACACCACGTCTTAAGGGTTGCATGGTTTTTCAAAGAGTTTTCATAAAACTTAATGAGTCTCTCATGTTCATGTTTGATCCGAACGTCCGGACGGGTTGCATGTTAGATATACGTTCTATGTTGGAGGTTCCAAGTATAATATATATTAGGAAAACCTAACTTTCAAAATATGCATGGGTAATTCATAAGTAATTGGAAGAATTACGTAGGATTGTTAAGGTGACGGCTGAACCCCATGACTTTTACAAATTGATTTTCTTTAAATTATTCTCTAGTTAATTTATTTAATTGTTTTAATTTAAATTCGTTTGTATTATTTTAAATTCCAAAATCATCCTTTTCACAACTTTGTTCTAAATAATTAGCTAAGGATTAGTATAAATACAAATTATTCATTCAATCCCTATGGAAACGACCTTGCTTGAGTTGCTATACTACGACAACCTTGTATTCTTACAAATATTTTTAAGTGTTTTTATCCCTACTTTTGCAAGTGGTAAAAATCTCTATCAACTTGCTGTTGCCAGTGCCCATCATTGGTTCATTCATCAACTGGATGTTCAAAACGCTTTTCTCCATGGTGATTTGCATGGAAACTCCTTTTGGTCTTCGCCGACAGGGGGAGAACATTGTATGTAAGCTTAACAAATCTCTATATGGACTCAAACAGGCCTCTAGAAACTGGTTTTCGACTTTTTCAGTCACCATTCAAAATACGATTTATATTAGTCAAAAACTGATTATTCTCTTTTTACCAAGGCTCAAGGTACTTCATTTACTGCAGTCCTTATCTATGTAGATGACATACTTCTTACATGAAATGATCTTTAAGTGATGGAACACCTCAAAACATTTCTTCTCACACGCTTCTGCATCAAAGATCTTGGTGATTTGAAATATTTTTTTGGCATTGAATTTCTCATTCTAAGAAAGGCATTTTCATGTCTCAGAGAAAATATGCACTAGACATTTTGCAGGATTTTGGATTTATGGGAGCACGCCCAGACAAGTTTCCAATGGAACAAATTTGAAACTCACTCCCACTAATGGAGCATTGTTAGGTGATCTCACCAAGTACAGAAGACTAGTTGAACGATTGATTTATCTTACTGTCATTAGGCCTGACATAGTCTTTTCAATTCGTACATTGAGTCAATTCATGCATGAGCCTCGCAAACCTCATTGGGATGCAGCTTTACGAATTCTCAGGTACATCAAAGGTACTCCTGGTCAAGGTTTGTTATTCCTTGTCTCTGACAATCTTGAGTTAAAGGCTTTTTGTGATTTCGATTGGGGAGGTTGTCGTGCCACAAAAAGGTTAGTTACAAGATATTGTGTTTTTCTTGGAAATTCTCTCATCTCATGGAAATCCAAGAAACAAGACAATGTTTTTCGATCATCTACAGAAGCCGAATATCAAGCTATGGCCAACACATGTTTAGAGTTAACTTGGCTACGCTATATATTTGCAAGATTTAAAAGTTTTGCAAAAGGCTCCCACATCATTGTTTTGTGACAATCAAGTTGCACTATAAGTTGTAGCTAATCCTGTTTTTCACGAGCGAACGAAGCATATTGAAATTGATTGTCACATCATTTGAGAAAAACTGCAAGCTAGAATGATTATTTCCTCACATCTACCTACACGTTTCCAATTAGCAGATTTATTTACAAAAGCCTCGGAAAAAGATCAATTTGCGATACCACGCGACAAGTTGGGAGTTCATAATATTTACTCTCCAACTTGAGGGGAGAGTATAAAAAAATATCATGTAATATATTTTGTAATATATTTACCTAATATGGTTTATGTCAAATCCCACCAAAAGAGGGATACGATTTTCTAGGACATTGATGTAGGGTTAATTGGTTGACCCAATGGTGTATATATTGTACTGTAAAGTTTATCAATAATACATACGAAATCATTCAGTCTGCTACTTTCCATCGCTTTGCCATTTAGCCATTTTAATATTCAACATGCCAACGGTACTGTTTACTTCAACGAAAAATCATATTTTTACACTAAAAAGTCAATCCTGATACTATTCATTTTACCCTTTATTTTGTCCTTATCGTTAAAACTCAAAGTTTTCAAACAATTTTCATTAGTTTTCCTTTTTAAGATACTGATAGATTTCCATACCAGCCTTTTAATATCTGGATTTACTATAGTTTACCAATTTCTCTGGAAACGATCTGTAAAATAGACTACGTAAACCAAACAACTTAGACTTCTTGTTTAAATACACATGTTTGCAATCTATCTGCACATGTACATATATTTAGTAAATAATCGTGATCATTTACGTCAATCTTAAATAATAGAAAAATTAAATTTACTAATTACCGTGAGTTCAAAATGTAAGGTTTCACCGTTTGGTGTGGTTGGTACCTGAACATTATAACGGGAAACTTAAAATATAAGGTGGGCACATACAAAAATTCCTCCAAAATTGGAAAGTAATTAATTTAGAAAATCTTGCCATCAAACAGAATTGTTTAATTAACCAATACGGTCATTGCTGTTGAGATTTGTTCCTATTTTTTGGGAGGTTCTTAGATTTTCTAAAGTTATAAGGAATATGGTCAGATTTTCTTACGAAATAGGAAGGAATTAGGGTTGATGCACCTCTCCCCATATTATTGGGTGTCACTGAAGGTAGACACCCTCTCCATATGTTCTATAAATAGAGGCATAAGCACAGAAGAGGAGACCCAACTTTGAGACCTCAGACAAATTAATAGCTGTGTATTGTTAGAGAAACAGAGATGACAATGTACGGGACGGAGAACCCTACTTCCAATAACAAAACCTCCTGTGTGTCCCCGGCCAATGGTAACGGCATGACACTGCCTAGTTTTCCATCCGACCATGTCCTCAATCTTGAACAGTAAGTTCTCTCCTTAGCTTCTTTATTCCAAGTAGATCAGAGAGGATGCAACATCTTGTTATTTACTGTAGGTTAAGGTCGAGAATCTTTTATAGCTCAGTTCTTGATTTTCACATTTGGATTTTGAATACGAATGTTTTACAATGCATTATTCGTTTTTTTTCTTTCTATAAAACCATATTTTCCAACAACTGAGTTTTGGTTAGTTTACTAATTAGGTTAACATGCAATCGACATTACTGGTGTTTCCGGTTTTGGTGGTGACAGGGGCGACCCGACAGTGTTCGAGTCCTATTGGAGGAAGATGGGGGACAAGTGTACGATGGTGATCTCCGGAAGCGAATTGATGAGCTACATCAGCGATTTCACCAGCGTGTGCTGGTTTTTGGAGCCAGCATTGGAGGCGGCGGTTAGAAGATTTCATCGTACGGTTGGGAACGCCGTCGTGGACGGTGATCGGCATATCGTGGTGGGGACAGGCTCGACTCAGCTCTATCAGGCTGCGCTGTATGCCCTCACTTCCCCCGGCAGGTCCGAGCCCGTCAGCGTTGTGTCTGCCGCCCCTTACTACTCGGTGAGGCTCTCTATACTCGTTGACATTTGGCAACCTTTTATTATGTTGATCATGTGTGGAACTTGATGTTGGCTTTGTTATTTTTTTTTTTTGTCAACTGCAAAAGATCAACAAAATGCTGCTTCAGCTTCACTGCTTATAAATTATATCAAATTAAGCGTGCTTTCAGCGGTTGTGTTAGCTATGTTCAAGGGCCGATTAAATTGGGCCTGTCGAGATTTCTTCTATTATAATATATCTGCTATGTTACGTTATTTGATGATCAATCTTGATCACTCAATTTATATCGATAGTTTTTTGTCATAACATGTTAAATGCACGTCTATACAATATATGAGATGAGGCAATCAATCTAGATCAGGGAGTTTTATATTAGGTAGTTTGATTAGACTTAATATTTTTAAACACCTCTTCCATAGTAACATGGGCATGTCTTGTTTATTGTTAACCACCTCTTCCATTCAACCTTAATTAGATCCTCTACGCTTTAATTACTTGTTTTCCTTCTATTAAACTCAATGTAACTTTGTACTTCGAGAACATTATCAACTAATTGTAACAAATATTTACTTATTTGTTCCAGTCATATCCGGATGAGACAGACTATCTTTGTTCTGCGTTGTACAAATGGATAGGCGATGCATATGCCTTTAACAAAACTAGACATGGACCTTACATTGAGGTGGTCAACACCCCAAACAACCCCGACGGCACTCTCCGAGAGGCCGTCGTAAAGAACAGAAGTGATCAGGGGAAGCTGATTCATGACCTGGCCTACTATTGGCCTCAATACACCCCAATTACTCGTCCGGCCGATCATGACATCATGTACTTCACATTCTCCAAAAGCACAGGACATGCTGGTTCTCGCATTGGGTAAGGAGCCTTTATTGACACTTAAAAAAAAGTCATCAAGAACTAGTTAAAGTGCAATATCTTCGTAATATTTTTTATACGCAATTTGTTCAATTGGGTTTTGTTTTCTTTGATCAGATGGGCCATTGTTAAGGACAGAGAGGTTGCAAAAAAAGATGTCAAAGTTTGTAGAGCTGAGTTCACTTGGTGTGTCCAAGGATTCACAGCAACGAGCTGCAAAGATAATGAGAGTGATCTGCGACGGATATGAGAACTGCAAGTCCACTGACAACTCTGAGCTCTTCTTCGACCACTGCCATCAAATAATGGGGAACAGATGGGAGAGGTTAAGAAAAGTGGTCGAGCAAAGTGAAGTTTTCAGCCTACCCAACTACCCCAAAAAGTACTGCATCTTCTTTGGAGATTCCGTTGAACCATATCCAGGTAAAATCATAATTATTACTCTCTTTTTGCAACTAACTCACTCGAAACATATTTGGAAACTTAAAACATGCTGGCTTACATAAATTGGATATTAAAATCGTTGATTCTTGATTTTCTTGCGTTTTAATGAAACATGAGTATTGACGTTATTCCAATTTCTGACTTCTCATATGTTTATTACCACATAATAATACAAAGTGTGAGTTGGATTTCACGTTAAAATTCGTAATCCAGTACCTAAAAAACAGAATCACAACTTCCCCGATAGATGTAATTATAATATTTATAAAGTTGTGTCTTCTAATATTGGGAATGTTATTTTACAATGCCAGCATTTGCATGGATGGAGGCGGAGGAGGATGTAGACACAGAGAAGGTTCTGAGAGGACAGATTAAGGTACAAGGAAGAACAGGGAGGCGCTTTGGGGTTGATCAGAGGTACGTCGGGATTAGCATGCTGAGCAGGGAAGACGTGTTTAACCACTTCTTGGAGAGATTATCAACTATCAAGTCCGTTACTAATGGTCATTAATTAGCTTAATCTGTTAATGTTAAAGAAATAGAAAACAGAGTTATGAGAGAGAGTAGCAGAGAACAGAGAGAGAGAGAGAGAGGTAAGAAGGTAAATGAGATTTTTGTATTGTTTTCTTAATGATGGAGTAATTACAAGTGTATGTATTTATAGTAAACTAGTCACTCTAACAGACTTCCTAACAAACTACTAATCTAACAAACCACCTAATCTAATTACACATGGCAAGATCTCAACCATACAACATTATATTCTAACTTCCCCCCTCAAACTCAAGATTGGGGCACCTAATCATGAGGTTGAAGCAGTCAGGTTCTCAAATAATCATTAGTGCAGTATTCCTTGCAATTGGAGAGTGAGGTTGCTGCTGCACAAAGTCTCTGCAATAAGAAAACCCTCCTAGCATCTTGAGCTTGTATATTATTGCTATATCATGTGTACCATAGTAGCCAAATCAACGTAGACCTGGTGCCCCCACCCTTGTCACAAATTCTCATATGATAGCCTAACTAAATATCGAATATACATCCACCATTGCATAACCGATTAACATAAAATCTTCTGAACTCATGTGCAAGTGCAACAGTTTGAGCAGGAACACTAATGTCCGTCTTGTTGTCAGAGTTAAGAACATGAAATGTCACTTGAATACACGATTGTAAACCCATTGAAATCAATTGAGATTATGTACCTTCGTTGTCAATACATTCCAAAACTTGGTCTTTGACATCATCTAAAAACATTTCATCTTCTGAAACAATGAAGTCCGAGAGAGAACCAGACTTGCAATCATAAACCGTATGAATTTCAACATCAGAATTACTCTGTAAAGGTGTTTCATGTTTCTGCAGGATGACTGGACAACCTAGTTTGAATTGTTGATCCAATGGGCTTTGACATGATTCAGGGGTTGAAACTGAAGACTGAGCATTATGTCTGGGATAACAATCATCATCAAAATGATCATTCTGTGAACAAATTTGATGTGTAGGAAAATCAGGTGGTGGAGAATTAAAATTTGGAGATGGCGGGGAGCCAAGAATTCCAGGTGAAAGTTCAGGAAAATACTTGTAGGTTGCACCATTATTGTAATGAAACCTCCCTTTACCATGATTCTTGAATCGAAAATTGATATACACACCATTATAACCATCAACATTATTATCTAAGCGTGATTGGCATGAACTAAAATTGTGTTGAGCATGATAACCCATTATTGAAACCAGCATGTAACTGAGAGCTAGAGAGAGGAAAGAAAGAACCTTGTGTCTGACATTCACCAAATTTAGTTACCACAGTAGACAGAAGGGGTGCCACAGAAGCACAATCCACAATGGCTTCCTCAGCGAGCAATTGTTGACGAAAGTTCTCGAGTGAAATAACACTCTCACGCCCTCTGATTACACATTTAAATGTGTTGTATATTGCAGGGAGTCCATTCAACACAATGAGCACAAAGTCTTCATCAGTAAGTGTGACACCAAGAACAGAAAGTCCATCTCTTGCTTCTTTAATTCTTCGAAGAAACTGGGAAATTGAATCTGATCCTTTCTTCATGTTGTAAAGATAAGTCTGTAACTTGATTATACTGGTTTTTGTACTTGGTAAGAAAAAATGGTTTTGGAGACGAACCCACATCTCTTGAGAGCTCGTGCTACCAATCACACATGAAATTGCGGATGAAGAAAGTGTTGCAGTAAGGAGCAACATCAGAGCATAATCGTGCATTTTCCATGCTTTAAACTCATCTGATTCAGGGCTAGCAGAGGAACCATTTTGGAGTACTGAATGTGCAGAGGTTGCTGCATACTGAGGAGGACACAAATTTGATCCGTCAACAAATCCCATAATGCCATGGCCCTCAAGCAGCAATTGCAACAGAAAGTGCCATTGAAGGTAATTGGTCTCGTCCAACTTGACAGAAACGGATGTAGAGACCGAAGAAATCAAGCCAGTAATTGGGGATTGCAAGATTTGCAATTGATTTGCAGTGACCATTTTAAGAAAATTGAGAGGAAGATTTCACTAAGGAAAAAGGTCGAACACCTTATGTGCAACAATTTGCAGCTTGAGAAACACATACATGGGTAGTCGGAGGTGCCCAGAAACACAAAGAAGACACAAGCACAGCACAAGAAATGTATAGTGGAAGTTAACGATCTTCAAGAACCAATAATGGAGCTCCAAGAATCAAGATTCTAAAGCTTGGACACCGACGATTGAGGTGGTGAAAGACGACTCCACCAAAGAACTCAACAACCACCACGAAAAAGAATCAAAACAGCGGAAGAACACAGGATCGGAGTTGGCGATTAGCCTAGACTGGCGATGATACCATGTTAATGTCAAAGAAATATAAAACAGAGTTATGAGAGAGAGTAGCAGAGAACAGAGAGAGAGAGAAGTAAGAAGGTAAATGAGATTTTTGTATTGTTTTCTTAATGATGGAGTAATAACAAGTGTAAGTATTTATAGTAAACTAGTCACTCTAACAGACTTCCTAACAAACTACTAATCTAACAAACCACCTGATCTAATTACACATGGCAAGATTTCAACCATACAACATTATATTCTAACATAATCTACTACCTAACCACAGCGATCGCACAGAGTTTCACTCAAATTCTGCACACCTTACAAGCTACGCAGGCATATTTATTTTAAAACTAGTTTCTATACCTAATGTAATAGTAAACCCGTGAGCAGTTTATTATCGATAAAGTGAATAATTTTCATCTTATAAAGACATTACGCTTTGAGAAAACCTTATTTCTACCCAATTTTCTTTTCATTTTTATCTCATTTGCTGACGTGTTGACGCGATTGGTTCCAATATTTGGTACATAAAACCTAAGTAACCATGCCAATAAATGAAATCAAAATCGAATCAAAGTGCGGGTTTTTCAATGCACACATAAAGACCAATTCGAGTATATGGCCGATGATCAATGGTTGAAACGAGCCGATGTTTCAATACGAATCTCAATCAAAAAAAAGAAAAATATGTACTAATTTGGACAGTCTCCAGACAAATAAGAATCGAATCCAAAACCACAATGACGAATCTTAATTCAACGTGCTGAATAAATCTACCATCCGGTGACGATAAACTTAAAACATTGTTAGATAAACCTTCATTATACATGCACCAAAGCAAAGGCCAGATAACTCATTCTCAACAAACGACTGATCGCAGGCAACTGGCTCTCAAAGACGGTCCTGTAATCTATCCACCAATTTTGGATTTGAACCATGCCAGATTGTACGTGAGAGCTGCGCCACAGAAAACATCTTGCAGGGGCAACTTTATACCAGTCTTAATTCATACTCGCCAGCCATGGTTATGTATCTCACCCATGGAAGAGCTTGGTATCCGCTTTTTTCAATAATCTTGAGGTAACGAACCTACAAAACCCCAATTTGCTCATAAGAAAACCGCACAATAACAAATTCCTAGCTCTACGATGGCTGATCATTTAACATGTTGACATATGGAATACAAATTCCATCGTTGCTCTGAAATATCAGGTCCTAATACAGGCTTAGGTGCCCTTAACTAAGTTGATTGTAGAAAGAGATCCAGATGTCCCCGAAATAGAGCAAAGCAATCAGGTTCATAAAGGCATACCTGTATTCCAGAAACAGTGAAATATGGTATCTCGAACTTCACACGTACAGGAGCTTTTCTCTCAGGAGTTGATTCTTCAGCTGTTACACTTGGCAGACGAAACTCTGCTCTCAACATGTATTCCTAGGAAATTTTGATTAGAAACAAGATCAATAAAAGGGGATAAAGTGCACAGCATAAGGTACAACATAATAATCTTCTTAAACTAGCAATAATACGAGTCCACACCTTGCCTCCGGGAAAAGATCTTATTTTCCAGATAAGCGCATCACTTTCAGGTGCATATGCGGCAGATCCTAATGATGTCCGAACATCAGGGTTAGTGGCATCAGATACCACAGGAACCTCAATCTCAACGTTTGTTGCAGTACTGTGCAGTTAAATTTTCATGAATACTAAGGGAATAAACATTAGGATACCCAAAGCACAAAGAAATTGATTAAAGAACTTTTTAATACCTACGCTCCTTGAACTGGCTTCTAGCTTTTACCAGAATCTCAATGCGACTTTTTGAATGCCTTTCAATTTGACATTCAACCCAAATTAGAGGCTTAACCTGAAAGGGAAAATGACGACAATTAACTGGAATGAGATGAGCAATAAATAAACCTCCCCTCCCCACTCAATGCGTGCACAGACACACACAAAGAAAAGAAAACAGCATCAGCAGAGCATGAGGGATACCTGTGTACTCAGCCTATATGTCATGAGATCAAAAGCTCCATCAGGTGGTACAAAAGATATTGTCCGGTCATTTTCAAACCGAGCCAAACGAACACACCTAAAACAAATTTTATAATTTAACGTAAGGACTTGCAGGAAGATTAGTCTTATATAAAATCTCAAACACTTATAAGACACAAAAGCAGCACTCAGATAAATCAGAAAGCTACATACTGATGAAATTTGATGTCTTCCAAATCAATGGCCTTTCCCTTTGTTGCTCGCCCTTGTGCCTCCAATAACACTCTATCATTTAAGCCCAGCTTACATTCAGGCATACCACTGCAAGCAAAATGGGTAAGTACTAGTTGCTAGCTGCTACCAGCATATAAAAGAGAAAGGTAGATAGTTAAAAAAGTAAATGGAATTGCTATACATTACTATGCTACGGTAAATTCTTGTGTTCTGGAGAAGAAAAAAAAATATTGTACAATAGCACAGTGTATAAACGAGACCGCTCTTAAGATGTAAAGCTACGATTCATTTCTGCAACTCAGAAAAGAAATTCAATTCCTCTTGTTTTTTTCAGAGATTTTCTCCAAACCCTGGTTTTCTATCTTTGATCTCTCTGTGCATTGGTTTTTGACTTCGATCAAGTTAATGGCTTTGACGAAACAGAGTACTCAAAAGAGAAATTTTAACTAGGATTTATACCACTGTCCTCATAAACATAGTTTCTTCTTACGAATGGATTATAACTCTAGCGTAAACCAAACAAGCTAGCAAATCTTAAACTGACATCTCTACATGAAAATGGATGTATTCACTTGGCATTTAAAAAGCATATCCAGTGAAAGAAGCACAAGTTAGAATGCTAAAGCATAGATTAAAATTAACTGGGTTAGAACAGAAACACACCTCAAATAAGTTCTCATCTTCAATGCACCAACAACATCAGACCTAATGATTTGTCCATTGCTGTTGACTAGTATATTAACACTCTCCACCACATCCAGGAAAACCTAGGTGAAAAAGAAGAAGAAAGGAAAGTCATCCAATTGCTGTGGCTTCAAAGAAGAGTGAAAACTCTTCAGTTTTTCCCAAAGCACATACCTCATTCTTCTTGTAACGTATCCCTTCACTTCGCCAAGACACCGCATTTGTTACGGCCATGGGAGGTCTCTGTGTAACTTCCATCCTGTAAGCATCAGTCTTGATAAATTCGCTGAGAATCTTGGCTTCAGTATACTGAGGGTAACCAAAGTCCATCATTTCATCGAGCAACTCATACTACAACACAAAAAAACACATCAAATCACAATGTTTCTCAATCAAAATTAAGCAAAATGAAGGGCACAAACATCTCCTTACCACAACCACAAAGTTATCCCTAAGCGATTCTTCTTCTAACTCTTCAAAGTAATGCTTGAACACCTGCCGTCCAATAATCAATTCACTAATTACGCATTTCAAATAAGTGCAGAAACAAATAACAAGAACGAATGAGGAACAAAACCTATCATAATTACCAATAGAGCTTACATCGACTATTCGGTGTAGAAAGAAGAGAAGACTAGCCGCATTGCAGTTCTGCCTGGACGCAGTCATCAAGTAAACATTGTTATGCTGTATAAACAAGTAGCTCACGCCATTATCGTGAACAACTGGATCATGAGATTCCGGATCAACCTGAACCGCATCTCAACAAGCATGGAAAGACAACATAATGCCACCATCAATTTCTACTCTCACAAAACACAGATCAAATCCAAATTTGCAGGGGAATAATTCATCAACAAACGACAATTCAGTTTCGTTTTCCTTCGTTTTCTCGGAAACCAATCAGTTCCCCAAGCAATTACAAGATCAAAAAACGCAGAAATTCTGGAAATTGAGTAAATTTAAGTAAGAAGAAGCAATTTTTTTACCTCTTTCTCGATGAGCTTAGTGAAGAAGCGCTCGGCTTGAGCGGCGGAGACGTCGCCGCGGTAGTCGCGCCAGATGAGAACGCGGCCTTTGATGTCTAGGAGGAACAGCGCCGAGACTGCCCCTGCCATGAGATCTGATGGGCGGTTGCAGAAATTGGACGCGATCTGATTCGGATATAGCAGCGGAGTCGATTGGCGTAGTCGTAGATCTGAATCTGAATTTTAGGCGTTAGGGTTCCGTTCGCCGTCTGCTGTTACTGTTGCAGCATCAACCGCCATCTTCAATCTGTCTGAGAGTCTGAAGAAGAAGGAGTCTGAGTTTTGGAAATGGAGGTGTTCGCTCACCGCGGTGAATATTTTGCTTATTCGGACGTTAGAGACCCGCGCCTCTCTCCTTCTTACGACGACGTTTTATGTTAAACTCCAAGGTAATCATACCGTTCAAGTTTTCCCCTTCTTACATAAATTTGGAAATGGATAAATAACGACTCTTATTGATATAGCTGGAAATATTGATATGTAATTTTACAGAAATATTAATGGTAGGTTGTTTTTGATAGAAATTATGAAAATTTGCAATGGAATAGGTATCAGATTTAGTCGAAATTAGAGAAAGTTTCTCAAAAAGTTCAAAAGTTCGAAATCTACAGTAAGTTCCGGTAAAATTTTTCTACTGAATCGGTAAATATCGCCGATACTCATTGACTTCATATATCCTGTCGTTATAGGATGAAGTTTGCATTTCACCCATTTTCCATTTGATCCTTATTTTTTTGGATATTTTGAGAGAAATATCAACAATTTCGTAGATATTTTAAACATTGCTCTTATTTATTACTTATGGAGGATCATTTTCATATGTTTAAAGCTGAAAATTTGATTATGTCTCACGTATAGTGTCTCATAAGGCCAACATGTGGATAGTCTTACACTATATCAAAATATGAACATTTAGTTCAAAATTAATTAAAAATAAAAGAAAATTCTCATAATTCTTTAAATTATTTTACTAATTCTATTTTTCAACGTGAGATAAATGCTCTCAACAAATAAATTACAAATTGTTACGAGTTACAATAATAACATAAGATAGTTAAAAAGCTGCTATATTCGATCTGTTATAAAAGGGGGGAAAATACAACAAATCATCTGGAAAAAAAAATGACTTGATATTACATGAACTTTCACATAACACAAGAATGATCGATCATTTGGTTTAGGGTTTGGATCATCTTCCAGTAAAATTAAATACACCAC